GGAAAGTGTGACGTTTGGGTAGAAGGCGACTATACTCATATTCCTTTTAAGAACTAAGGTCACCTATATCTAGTAGGCATTAGGGTGTGTGTCAATGTAGTTGGAGATTGAACGATCAATTCTTGGTTGTTTGCTCAAAACCAACTTCCCCAATTTTCGCGGAGGCATCAATCAGCCAGTCATCGTCTCATCGGTCGCTGTTCAGAAAGAAGCCAGCAATAAACCGTCAGAAGTAATATTGTGATTTATTATTGTAATATTTGTTCATAGACCTTAGTTGTATATTGGCTATATGTTGGTGTTAGAATAAATAATTCTCCAGTCGCCAAACTGGGTTCTGGTTTTTGCGTCCGTTCGTACTAAGCGTTTCTGAGAAGCTTCGAGGAACAGCGTGAGTCCCAGCGTAGCAAGAGCTGGGCATTAACGGTTTACGAGACGTGGCTGACAGTGTGTCAATATTAGGCAAAATATACCACTAAAATTTCGTGAAAATTCAATAATGCACGCTTTTGTTTTGAGCTCACTGCATCTTTTTGTCTATTACACTGCATAGATATCAGCATCAAGCATCATTTCCTGACAAAAGGGCAGCATATATAATGCATGTCGGGAATGTAATGCTACTGCTAATGTGCACTCCAGGAAGTATTTTCAATACCAAAATTTCATTAAAAAATCACACGAAAGTACGTCTTAATACTTAACTACCATAGGGCTACGACGTTACAATCAGCTGGGATGGGCAGTTATAGTCACTCTACTTGTTATTCTCCACTCTAACTTGTTTCACACGTCGTTTCTCATCCAGAGCATAGTCTTGTCTCTCTGAGAGGTTTTGGAATAGTGTAGAAGAAAATGATTCCTTGTATGTTCTTGAGTTAGCTTAATTTGCTCTACTTCAGCAGTTTGAAAGAGTGGACTCTTTTGCGACCAACAGGCAAATGCCTCTACTTCCGCTGTAATCTTCCATAGTGTGCATATCCACTTGTGAATTGTCTTGGATGGTTTTCAGAGTTCTATGTCTTACATCGCTTTGGTAATTGGGTATCCTTGCCTATAGCTGTGTTAATTTCTTTCGGTTTTTTGAAAGTATTTGTCTGACCTGCATCTTGTTTTCCCTTAGCTTTGAAAGGGAAATCAGCCATCCTCTTTGTTCTCCACCTCCGCACAGTTTAAAAACATGTTTTCTCATCCGTCTCTAATCTATCACCTTCCTCATTTCTATACTTGGCGCTCAATTTTCTGTCCTCTTCTTCTTGCCTCATGTGTGTACACTTGGTTCCAATCCACATCTCCTTCACAGAATTGCATTGTTCTTCTACACTGGTTTTCTTGGTGGTGTGGCTTCATGTCGCCTACTTTTGCTGGAAGCTGAAATAAAAGTGTCTTTTGTGGCTTCATCCGTCCGTGTTGATCTTGAATTGCGAACCGAAGACTCTGAATATGGCCGTGGGGATATTTTTAGTTGGATGATATTCCGATCCCATATACTATGCCCTTTTTGAATTTATGTCCAGAAGGCTAATTCACTTTTCTAGGTTAAAATGAATCATATCTGATTTTTGGTGTCTCCGTCTAGTGAAACCCATATGGTCTTTTGTATATGCATGTGCTCATGCATACTGTTTCCAAATCACTAAATAGTCCAGAAGTCTTCAAAGGAATCGCTGTTCTCAATCATTTAACTGACAGCCCTTAGACCCATGCTGAGTTATCCTTCTGTGTTGCTGGCTCTCGGTTTGGCTAAAGTTCATATCACCTATTAGAATTTTGATGTCGTAATCTGTCCGCGATAATGTCCAGCAACACATGAAGACGTTCGCTTTATTCTCTAGGTCTGTGTAGCTTGTAGCATTCTGAATGGTATTGATCCACATTCTATCAGAGCCTCTGATGGTTTTGGCTACATCATACTAGCCACTCACTCAGCCTTTCCGTGATTTCCATCTTAGTGAATGGATTTCTGACTCTCTTGTTAGCGGTTTGGAGACTTCACGTACATTCGACACGCTCTCACAGGTTCTTAGCACTGCCAGAGCAAATCTTCACATTCCTGGGTCAACACAAGCCTCCCGAGCCACAGACAGCATGCGGACGTTCCATGCATGATGTTTCTTTCATCGGGGTAAGACACGCCAGCGAGCTGATTTCCTGAAGGACTTCACGAGGCGGCGTTATTGTGTCTCCAATCTCAGTGAACAATAAGTTTCTTTTCGACGCTTTTAAGGGCCACGAAGCCTTTGTGGTTATTAAGTTGATTTACCCTGGCAGGGAGATAGGCCTAGTTTAGGACCAGGAAGTAAACCACTGAACTAGTCAGTTGGGCAAGTGTTTTCCGCAAATCACTAAAATGTGCCACTGGTGTGCGCAGTTAGACTTTATTTCTGAATCGCAAGACTCCCTAACTGCATCAAGCGTCCAGTATCGTGCATTCATTGGTACTCCTCGTTTTCAGCTACTTCGTCATTCAGTATACGTAGGGATCTCCAGATTTCCGACTATTCCTATCATTTACAGAGCTTCCACTACTATTTCTTACCCAAGAAGTCATCACCATTCTTCAGTTTCCGTGAACGGCTGTCATCTAAAGCGCAGTACTTTTAAACCAATTACAGGGTAATATAATGGCTGTTAGTTGTCCCGGTATGACAAATTATGAGCCAGCAGTTACCACAGACCAGTGCCCATTTTGGGAAATGTCTGCTAAGGAAGCAGACATGAAGGGCAGTGTAGATGGCATGAAGAAAGATGTCATTTTAATTTTTTCGCAGTTGATTTTCTGATATCTAGATGACACTATTTCTTACCTCAATTTAAGCTGAAGTTCTTATGCAGCCGATCCACTTCTTAATTTCACCCCCATTGTTGGTAGACGCTAACTAAAATTTCGCTATAGTGAATGGTAGACAATTTAGGCATTGGGAAAGTCACTTGATGCATCAATAATTGGGAATTTCCGATGGACTCCACAAAGTTAACAATGCCTGATGGGAGTGAAAGTAGAATTTTATCAATGTGTGATTTCAGTTGTACAATGTCTACGAGACTTTCTCAAGAAATTGTCTACATGAACCTATATTAACGAAACCTATCAAGTAGATACGTTTCTCACCTATGTCACTACACCTATCATGAGAATAGACTGGCGTAAGCACAACTACCTACACGTAAATGCATGTCGATGATGACCAAGAGTAGTGGTGTAGCTGAAACAAGATTTCAGCAACTATCCAGGTAGGTGTCCAATAAGTTATTCACAATTCATTGTAAGCAGTGCCGCGTTTTAGAAAAAAGTCAAAGGAAAAGCCCATAACCTGGCTCCCAAACGTTTCACTTACGGTTAGTGACACTCATCCCGAACTGTGGGGTTTTAAAAAACAACAACTTTCCAACTATAAAAAAACACTGTAACTCGTGCATGCTTCTCTTGGGTGCGACTTTTTCTGACTTAACATGTACTGTGTTCATCGAATATTGTGAAGTTGTTGTTTATGTCTTTGTTATATACTGGTCGAGAATTTAATAGTCCTGACGCAAGAAAGACGGAAATCAGAAGACCACTAGGTTTGCGATGATACTTCTATTTTTCAAAACACAAGGAGAATCAATGTCGCACAAGTGTGTGAGAGCAAAATATGAATGTCCGAACAAGTGTGTCAACACAAGTGTGCGAGCGAATATTCAAAATGAGCAAATCAATAGACAGTCTTAACATGATTGGCTAATTATAATGGAATATCGATCCATATATACATAGATATATGGATATGGATACATATCAGTCTTGGATTTTCACTTCCCTTTATTTCTACATAAATTCCACCGTGCATTCAACCAGTTTATTTTTTGCACGAAGTTCTGGTCTTTTTCGACACTCTTGACTGTTGCTGTAGTAAGGTGAGGAGATGTATGCGTAAATAATTCAGAATACAGTTATTCATGATCTCAAATGAGGTGTTTACCAGTACATTCGGATTGACTAGCTGAGCTGAAGTTGTGCGGGCACTATCAGGTAACGTTCTCCAGCACTTACACGGTTTCTGATCAGTGAAGCACGCATTACTGTTCAACGGTAGCGACCTGGGAAAGTAGTTCGTATTTTGGACTACCTAGTTGCATTGTGATTTAAACCACCAAACGTTCTGTGTTCCGCGACAAATTGGTATATTTGGAGGTAGAGGATTATGTGCATGCACAGTATTCAAGCAAGAATGGAATTATTTTGTGGATGTGTAATGTATATTTTGATACAGCAAAGGTAACATTAGGGTAAAGGGTCAAAGTGACCACAACGATTCTGAGTAAAACTTATGAAGTAAAACTTTAGGTTTTGTGAAGTGACAGTAAAAACTCAGAAGAATAGTTTGTGAAAATCCTCACTGGTTTTCTTTTGTTCTGAAGGTGCTCATCTGTAATGGAGCATTTGAAGAAATTAGACCCTTTATTAGACAGTATTATAAGAGAGAACGAAAATGTATGGAACAAGAATTGGCTTGAAGGTGGACCTCAGATATGTATAAGAACTTACATTTTCTCATTGAATAAATGTTGAGGAATGGGAACGTGGATGGAGAGGCTGGTAAAGATTTGGAAAAATACTTGGATGATCATCAGCAGGAACTAGGTCTGATCAAGCACTCCAGTAGAAGTTGCTGATTTCCTAGGACCCACACAAATTCCGTTGATCCGACATAACGACGGTTCTACTCATTTTACTTTTATGTAGGAGATTCTCCACTGTTTCCCATGTTTTCACAGTGAGTTTCCCAATTTACTCCTTGTTGTGTTCTACAACTCTTTCAAACGTCTATCCTGCATAGACTCTCTGTATTTTATAGGAAGTACGTAAAAAGAACTAGTATTACTGGCTGCAACGGTCAATGCCAGCTGGATTTCTACATTATTTTATATTCCAGAATATAACGCAGGTTGTCTCCGGTTTACTGCTCTTTATCCCTGCAGACTGAAACTAAGGACGAATAATTTTGTTTAGTTATGTAGTTGACCTTGGCGCTGATCGGAGTGCACCTCCGTATGCGCGTAGTTTGATTTTGTTTGATTTCGTCCTGGTAGGTGGGCTTTTTTATGTACTATAATGCGGATGTTTATTAATTTTAAATATGATGGATTGCTATTGATAGTTTCTATGGTTTCTTCTGAAGCCTCCTAGCACAGCCAGCAGTTTTCTGGTATAGTTGATATATATGACTTATACATTGCAGCTGGCATGCATTAACTTCGGACGCACTGCAGAAACTTTGTGGCGAATTGCAGATAAGTGTCCCACTCTGCAATGAACTCGAAGACACTTCCCGGAAAATTCTTCAGGGCCTCGAAAAAATGCTGGCTGCCATACGCATATTTTGTTTCTGCGTCCTCCGAGCCGGATGACTTAATTGCAAAGCTTTCATTATCCTTCCGGGCAATACCTTCAGCACAGGCCTTAGTATAACAGCCTTATATTGAAGCCAGCCGTAAGATGTCCACGAGAAAAACCAAAGCTCTGCATTTAAATCAGTCAGCTCGCAGTTAAATTATCCACCTGAGCGTCGGTGGCACAGTGGTTAGGACTCTCGACGACCATGCACATGGTCCGGGGTTCGAGCCCACACCGGCGCACACCAGATATCTATGGTCGGCCTGCGAAATTTGGGCTACCGATATCCACGCTGAAAATTCCATACTTGTACCAAAATACAGTGTGGAATCAAGCTGTTACCAAAAATAAAAAAAAAATAAAAAAAATACTAATCTATTACACGCACATATATTTATGACCGCTATAGTGTCATATCGCCCAGTGTGTTTAAATTGAGAATCCACTCCACACTTCGCTTTAACGTGAGGTGGGGTGAAACATTAATTGTCTGCAATGTCCTTGGAAAACCAGGATTTTTTTTGTTCACTTTCAATTTTTCCGTTGTAGGCTGATCATGATTAGAGCATTACTAGCTTTTCAACAAAGTACTCATTTGTTTTATGGTTTCATGTAATATAGTGTGTGATCTATATTTCGACGTTCTGAATTGCATCCATTCAAGATATCTCACTTTGGAATGGTACAGTATATAAAGGTGAATGTACTGGTATCAGAGGAGAAGCATGGTTATTCGAAGTATAGCTGCACGAATACATGTATGCTGTTATAAACATTTGCGAGTTATGTTATCGGTACTCTTCATCTGGCGGGTTTTAGCCTGTCAAGAGTTTTGACCAGTGCTTGCAACTTACTCCTTGATGAACATGTTGGCTCCACTCCATTATGGATAAGATTTTATTTTGATAAATCACACAGTGTTGTACAGTTATATTAACTGATATAGCTGTACAACACTGTGTGATTTATCAAAATAAAATCTTATCCATAATGGAGTTATACTCTACCACAGTGCCCAAGTTTTATACTTAAATCAATGTTGGCTCCACATTCGAAACACTAACTACCTCCACCGATTTGTGTTCAGTATCATTCCGAACGTCTTGCATACTGCACTTAACATTAAATTGAATCTCAACATTACTCAGGTACATTGCCCAAAGTCGGCGTTTTCATATTTTATAATTTTATCAGTCGTCAACCATAAGGCAGAAAAAGGCACGTGTAGTATGCATCTGTGGATGAACAACTGAATAATTTTTCAGCTTCAAGTATGATGAGTCAGGTTTTACTTTTCTTTCAATGGCTTCACCTAGTGTTCTATACTAAAAGGTATTTTTTTCACACTACGGACTCTTCATGTAGGGGTTGAGCATTCGCATCCTCAGCCGAGTTGCCCAGTATACAGTACATATCTTACTGCTAGAAGCGGAAAGCAGATAGCCGGTGTAGAGAAGGTAGAGATTAATGTACTACATTAGCCCAAATCTTGTATTTGTCATATGTAGTGAGACTATGCAATTGGAGAATCCACGTGGCTCTTTTGTACATTGTAAACTACTAGGTAATTGGTAGATGATTGGAGATTCTCCCGAAAATTTGTATGACTTGTCCATCAATGAAGTCTTAATGTCTTTAGAAATCTATTGTTCCTCAACTGTTGATAATGTAGGAGTTCGTTTTTACTCATCAAACTAGTGATACAATGAATAACGTGTTTTGGCTTTATACAAATATATCAACTTTAGCGGAAGTGGTTTTGCATATGTTGTTATTTTGTTATGCCCAAAACTGGACTGTTACAAGTGGTTTGAAGATGCGTTGTGCGCAGTGATCTTTGCATCTTAGAGTTTATTACTTCGGAAAAATATCCCGTCATTTAATTCTCGGTTGAACAATCAATGTAGTCACTGTTGAATAGCTATATTCTTGTGGCTGACAGCAGAAACAAATCAGACAGAGCTTGTTTAGCGTACTACCATAACAGGTACTGTTTTCTATTGTAATTAGATGCATCCAAATCGTTTTTCTGCTTACGTGCTTTTGAGAAAATTCCTAGTCAGCTGCTGGATTTTACTATTGGTTCGCTATGCTGATTAATCTGCAATATTCAGTAATAAGTCCAAAAATATTCTCGAAATCATAAGTATTAAGCCTCAGTCTATATTATCGTCTGAACAGTCGAAATCCACTGTTATCTCAGCACAGTTCTACGTAAAATAAAATGTTGAGATGTTAAAATAAGGTGAATTTAATACAAGTATAAAACTTGGGCACTGTGGTAGAGTATCTTATCCATAATGAAGGTGAATTTAGCTCTTAATTCGTGAGGACAGTTTTTATTTAATGTTTCTTGAGTGACTGCAAACTAGTTATGACTATTGTGATTTTTAGTAATATACTGAACTCTGACCTATTAAAACTTCTTGTTTAGAAGTATTTTAAATCCTACATATATACATAAATGTATATATATATATATATATATATCGGTAGAATATTATTTTCCATCATACATAAATAAAGCTAGGAGATGGGGTCTTTCGCGCACTTACTTTCGATTCAAACAAAAAGACTATTTGTCATTACAATTCTTATTATTACTTACTAATGATTTGTCCAAGTTAATTTTTATTTAGAGTGCTGCGAACCATATTTCTTTATTTATCGGTAGACGATAACACGTGCAGTCATGTGCCTTACGGGAGCAGTCGCTTGTCTGTGTGTCTGTTTTCAACATAAAACTTTGCACCGATGTGCAGCGGTTCAAGTCGTCACACTCCATGTAGCACACAAAGCAAAAGAAAACAGCAGGAGAAATGTAAAGTAGAGACAATAAACAGAGATATGAGACAGAAGGAATATTAATAACGAAGAACAATGTAGTTTCATTGGGTATTATAAGTCACAAGGAGTGGATGCATTTGCGCTATTGAGAACGATTTTGAGCCATCTCACCAATTCCCGACCGAAAGCTGCTACCTTGACGTGGTGGTCGGGCTTGAACACCGCAATGATCTATTCAAGCTATACTGGCTGAGACTTATGTCTCTTGAGGTCCTACCATGCCAGGCAGGTTGTTTGGATAGCGGTTAAACAAAAAGCAGCTACCCAATCCAACATCATGTTAAATACAAAATCACAAAATTTCATGCCGGATCGGCCGTGGCCCGGATTAACAACGACCGCGCTTCCTGCTGCCGTGTCACAGGGCAGGAGTGATAAATATGCTACTGAGGCACACAAAACAAAAAGAAGAAACAAAAGCAGGCCGCGTGTGACCGGCCTCAAGCAGTTGTCCCCTGGGCTCTGCGGTCACGCAACCAACTTCCACGGTGTGGGCAGCCGGGAAGTAACAATCGCCCTCACAATCCGAAACGCACGCGAAACCTCTCTATTACTCACTCATCTTTGTTTTCATCTTCATCTCTATCATCTTGCCTTCCTTCCACTGATGCAACTCCTCGACTTGATAGCTCTCCACTCTGCGTCCACTAAAAACGATGGAAGCCAAAAAACCACCACCGACAGCCTCTTAAAGCCGCGCCACCAATTTCATATAGGAGCTCTTAATGTTAGGACACTTTGCCAAATAGGACAACAAGCATCACTAGCCAAGACCCTGGCATCACGAGCCATTGATGTATGCTGTGTTTCAGAAACACGCATACAAGACCCAAGTGTGGTTATTCACCTAACCCCACCTGGCCAACAGGTTGAATCTGCAAAATTCACCTTGAGGGTGTCAGGAGATGCCACAGCTAGTTCACGAGGATTAGCTGGCGTAGGGATAGCTTTGAGTACTAGGGCAGAAAAGACATTGCTTGACTGGATCCCGGTAGATAGCCGAATGTGTGCTGTCCGCCTGAACGGATCAGTAAGAAGGAGGAAGGACTGCACTACTCGCCGATGCCTTTTCGTAATCTCCGCCTACGCCCCCACTGACTGCAGTTCAGATGAAACGAAGGATGAGTTCTACCAAAAGCTGTCTAGTTTGGTGAGAAAGGCTAAACGCTCAGACATAGTCGTTCTAGCTGGTGACTTTAACGCTCAAGTAGGGAAATTGTGTCAATCTGAGAAGGATGTCGGTGGCACCTATGGAGTTCCGTGCCAGCGAACCGACAACGGTGACCGTCTCCTACAGTTCTGTTCTGATAATCATTTGTTTCTTGTAAGCACTAACTTCAAACACAAGGAGAGACACTGTTTGACTTGGAGACCCCCTTCATCAAACCAACGCTGGACACAAATAGACCACATAGCAATAAGCTATCGTTGGCGTGGGTCGGTAGGAGATTGTCGCTCCTTCTGGAACACGTGCGTAGATACCGACCATGCACTGGTCCGCGCTCGGGTGTGCTTACGACTGAACGGACGTAGGAAACAGCTGGCGGTAAAACCATCACGTCCCCAGCTCGATCAGGAAACTAAATCCGTATTTGAGGAAGAACTAGCTAAACACATATCTGTGTTCGACAGCTGTGCTCACCCTGAAGAAGCTTGGAAAAATATCCAGGCAGCCATAGATACAGCTGTAAAAGCTGTGAATAAGGTAAACCCAAAGGTGAGTAAAAACCACTGGATCTCCACCGCCTCATCCGAACTGATAGATGCTAGAAGACTTATTCCGGCGAGCTCCGAATTCAATGAGGAGCGAAAGCTGCACAAGAGGAAACTTACGAAAAGTCTCCGCAAGGACCGTGAACAGTGGTGGGCGACAAAAGCCAAAGAGATGGAGAAAGCTTCGAGGATAGGCAACACCAGGCAACTCTTTAGACTCATCAGGGAAACGGGTGGGAGAAGACAAATCATTAGTGAGACAATCTCGGAAAAAAATGGCACTATAATTAGCTCCCAGGATAGACGACTGGATCGTTGGAAAGAGCATTATGAGGAGCAGTTTAATTTGCCCACAGCCACGCTCAACCTTCCGAGCATCCAACACCTCCCTGAATGGGATATAGACACAGGTCCTCCGTCACTAACTGAGGTTACTAAAGCTGTCACCAATCTGAAACTAGGCAAAGCAGCGGGACCTGATGGAATGACTCCAGAGGTATTTAAGTACGGTGGAGACAGCTTACTGTCCGGATTAACTGAGGTACTAGGCAGCGTCTGGGAATCAGAAGAAGTCCCATCGGGTTGGTGTAAGTCACTGATTATCCCCATATACAAGAAGGGAGACAAGTCTTCCTGTGATAATCACAGAGGGATTAGCTTGACTAATATAGTATCTAAAGTCTTAGGCTCAATAATCATGCGTAGACTGAGTGGTGCTCGGGAAGCACAAACACGAGAGAGCCAGGCAGGCTTTAGACCAGGAAGAGGGTGTATTGATCATATCTTCACCCTCCGACAGATTCTAGAACATAGGCATTCCTACCGGCGTCCAACAGTCATTATATTTCTTGACCTAAAGGCAGCATTCGACTCTGTCGATCGAAAAGTTCTCTGGAGATGCTTGGCTGTAAAGGGAATTCCGAGAAAATATATTGCACTGATTAAGGCACTCTACTCGTACTCATACAGCCAGGTGAGGGCTTACGGCGAGCTGTCATCTGAACTGATGACGACCAGTGGTGTCCGTCAAGGATGCCCATTATCTCCTTTTCTATTCAACTTCATCATAGATGTGTTAATGGACTTAACCCTAGGTGACTTCAGCGACTCAGGGATTGACTTGCTACCGGGAATAATCTCGTTGACTTGGAATATGCAGACGATATAGTCCTTCTAGGCGAAGACGCTGACGAAATGCAGAGTCTTCTAAACACCTTGAGCCGCAATCTACGAATGTTTGGCATGCGATTCGCTCCCGCCAAATGCAAGATGATGTTACAGGACTGGACTACATCGACGCCTAGTTTAAAAATAGGAAGTGAAGTGGTAGAGCACGTTGACCGCTTCACTTATTTGGGAAGTACCATCAGCCCCAACGGGTTGATCTCTGACGAAATCTCAGCACGAATACAAGGGGCTCGTTTCGCATTTGTTAGTTTACGCCGACTCTGGCGTAGACGAGATGTTCGACTATCGACCAAAGGGCGGGTGTACTGCTCATCAGTCCGCTCCGTCCTCCTTTATGGTTGTGAGACCTGGCCACTGAGAGTGGAAGACATGAAAAGACTAGCTGTCTTTGATCATAGGTGCCTGCGCTCTATTTCCCGTGTAAAGTGGCATAATAAGGTGAGCAACATTGAGGTTAGGCGTAGAGTTCTAGGTAAACAGGGGAAATCAATCGACGAAGTCGTGAAGCTACAAAGACTGAGATGGTTAGGACATGTGTTACGTATGCCAAGTCATCGCCTCCCTCGACGAGCAATGTTAGCGGATATAGGGTCAGGCTGGAAAAAAGCTAGCGGCGGTCAAACAAAAACTTGGCATCAGTCAATGAAATCCACAACAGTTGGTCTAAGCCACGTAGGAAGGTGTAGACTTCCAGGCTGGGGTCCTCGGGACGGTAAAAATCTATGGTTGGAAACAATTGGTGACATGGCTCAAAATCGTTCTCAGTGGCGCAGATGCATCCACTCCTTGTGACTTATGATCTCCAATGAAACTGTTTTGTATTTCGTTATTACTCCTTTGTCTCACACCTCTGCTCACTGTTTCTATTATGCTTTTCTTGTACTTTCTTCTCTTGCTTCGCGTGCTACACGGAGTGTGGCGACTTGAACTTCCGCACATTTGTGCAAAGTTCGATGTCGAAAACAGACAGACATATCACCAATTGTCTCCAGCCATTGGTTTCTACCGTCCCGATGACCCCAACCAGGAAGTCTGCCCCACCCTACTTGGCTAGCCTAAACTAACTGTTGTAGGTTTCATTGACTGATGAAGCCATGTTTCGGTCTGACAACCACTGGCTCTTTCCGAACCTGACCCTATGCCAACTAACATTGCCCATCGTCGAGAAGGCGATGGCTGGGCATACGTAACACATGCCCCAACCATCCCAATCAGTGTAACTTCACAACCTCGTCGATTGATTTCCCTTCTTTACATAGCACTCGTCCGAAGTCTAACCTCATTATTGCTCACCGTATCATACCAACTAACACGTGAGACAGAACGCAGGCACCTATGGTCGAAGACAGGTAGCTAGCTTCTTCCTGTCTTCCACTCTCAATACTTTTACTTTACTTTACTTCGGCTATCTCCTACGGGAGGATGAGCCGGCTTCATGAACGTCTCGAATCATCGCTGCCCAGGCGCGGCAATTTGTAAGAGAGTTTATGAAGTTTCATGGGAATTTGGTACGAGTGATGTCCCCAGCATCGCTCGGCCTTTTGTTTGAGAGTGCAGCTCTAGCCTTTACACAGCCAAGTGTGACCTACAAGGCAGTAGGAGTGGAGTAAGGAGTCCACTATCCATTGGCAGCCAGTGACCGGAGTTCGGTTCATACGCCTTTTTGAATGGGGCCAGACATCCAGGACATCCAACAAGCCCTTTGTCCATACGTCTGCCGGTGAGCTCCAGTGAGCTTCATACGCCAGTCGTTGGAGGTTTGGAATCAGGGTTTAGCCATCTCCCCTAGACCGTCATCCAATGGACAGTCAACCCGGTGGAGAGCGCCGGGCATCCGCTTTCGCCCTCTTACTTTGGTGAGAAACACCTCCGCCACGTGAAGGCAGTGAGTAGGACTTCCTCAGGAGAGGCTATGTAAGACGCCCGGTCATATGGAAGCATTTCAAGAGGTGTGCGGAGGGGTGGCCAACCCGCAGCGCAAGGCACCCACCCCCGACCATCCTGAGGCTTTGGATGGCCATGTTTCGCTCAAAGCCATAAAGGAGGACAGAGCGGACTGCTAAGCAGTACACACGCCCTCTGGTTGATAGCCAACCGGACATCACGTCTACGCCAGAGATGGCGTAAACTGACATATGCGAAACTAGCCTTGTGTATCCATTCTTAGACTTCGTCATCGATCCACCGGTTGGGGCTGGTTGATGCAGCCTCCCAAATAAGTGAAGTGGTCAACGTGCTTTTCCACTTCACTCTCTATTTCTAAGTTGGGAGTCAATGTAGTTCAATCCTGTAGCATTATCTTACATTTGACAGCAGGAGCGGATCGCATGCCAAACATTCGTAGATAGCAGCTCAAGGTGTTCAGAAGACTGTGCATTATGTCAGCGTCTTCACCTAGAAGGACTATATCATTTGTCAAAAAGGTTATTTCCTGATGGTAACAAGTCAATCCCTGAATCTCTGAAGTGAGTTAAGGTTAAGTCCATTAGTACATGTATGATGAAACTGAATAGAAATGGGGATAGTGGGCATCTCTGACGGACACCACTAGTTGTCACCATTTCAGATGACAACTCGCCATAAGCTCTCATCTGGCTGACTGCATGAGTTCGAGTAGAGTAAGTGACTTGATCAATGCAATGTATTTTCTCGTCATTCCCTTTACAGCCAAGCATCGCCATAGTACCTCTCGGTCGACAGAATCGAATGGTGCCTTGTAACCGGAAGGTCCTGGGTTCGAATCCCGGTGGGTGCGTACTGCTGACGAGTCCCAAACTAGGACGAAACAGCTGTCCAGTACTCCCAGGTTTTCCAATGGTTCTCTTACTAATGTCAGCTCATGATGAAATCCTCAGACCAATCAAATCCCTACAAACCAACACTTAATTATAATAATTGTTGGACGCCTATTTTCTAGAATCCGTCGAAGGGTGAAGATATGATCAATACTCCCTCTTCCTGGTCTAAAGCCTGCCTGGTTCTTTTGGGTTTGTTCCTCTTGAGCACCGCTTAGTCTACGCATGATTATTGAGTCTAGAACTTTAGATACCATATTAATCAAGCTAATCCCCGTGTGATTACAGGGTTAAGGAAGATTTGTCTTCCGTCTTGTATATCGGGATAACCAATGACATCGCATACCCAACCTATTGAGTTTAATGTTTGTTTAGTGTAGTTACTGTATTGATTATTTATTAAGTCAATAGTGGCATACATTTTATTATACTCTAATTTTATAATGATGGTCTTACTTATCCACTTTGAACAATGAGTGCATCACTTCTTTTGTAGATTAATGCTATATCCTCTCATCTATGATTAAAGCAGCTCATAGTGTTTCCAACCTAAGTTCCAATTCCGAATCGAACCCTTATCTGGTCAAACGCTCACAGAATTCTCATTTTGTTCAGGTTGGTTTGGTGCACATTTTACGCATAAAGTTTTCTTTTTTTGTCATGAAAATCTGAATATCAAAAATTGTTATTGATTCTTAAGTAACTGAGGTGGTTTATAGGCAAGTGAAGGGATGTGGTCATCAAACTGTTTATAATAATTTAGTTATCATTGTTTGAATAAGTTATGAAGACACAAGTAGATGGTGGGGTTCGTCAGTAAGTTAAATCTTGTTTAAGCAAGGTTCCATAACTGAGCTCGAAAGGCCTTTTCGTGTACTCGAAATGTCAGCAGCGCTTGGAAATGAAGAGACTGAAAATAAAAGTCATTTGCTATTGTTCCATAGCCATTAAGTGTGAAGTAACCAAATACACAATCTTTCGAGAAGTTTAGAAAGGTTACATTATGGTAATTTCTTTCACTCTCAACAGATGCGCAGTCGAAATTTTTACGCTGTTTCGCTTCACTCTATCGACTAGTTATGAACAGTTATTTGAACATAACAATAAACCTGAGGTTAATTTAAGACTGTAGTTTCAAAAAATGATGTAAACAAAAGGCGACAAAATGTGAGTATTCATCACGAAAAGCACTGAAACCAAAAGTTAGCCGGGAATTTATGCGAACTCTGTGTTTCGTTCTAATTTCAATACATAAAGTTTGATTTTTGCACAATAGTGAAGTCCAGTTCCTAGATGTAGGCTTTAATTGTGTTGGTGTATAAAGATTTGGCTTACACGTTACAGAATGTCAAAAAAGTTGTTTTCGCAATTCAGTGAAATTTTACGAATGTATGTTTTCTAACAGTCATCCAAACAATGCTCAGTCATAGAACTGAGGAACGTCTAAACATAATACTATGATATGCATATATTTAATGAATGTAACCACAACAAATTGTTTTGAAGTCGAAGAATGGTAAAATTTTTAGAAGAATGTAATTTATCGTTCAACGTATTCATTGTTGTTTTAACAGTTCTCGTAAAAATAGTCGTACCAGTCGTTGCTAGGCTCAAAGAAAAATGCTGCTAACTGGCTAAACCACAATAAATTTCTGTTGACATTAGAAAGATGTAATAAAATCAGTTGACAGTAATAGAGCGAAGTTTACAAGCTCTTGATTTTTATATTTACTGTTGATCAGTTGAATCACTACGGTGTCCCTGTCCATATATTCTATTCGCAACAAATGGCTACAAGATATTCTGTAAATAAGATCCCCACAGAATAAGTTTATTAACGATACTTTTCATCAAAATTACCTGTCAAACTGAACTGATTATTGCTGCTCAATTAAAACAGGCTCAGAATAAAAGCAGTGTAAAAAGTTAATTATAGGACTAGGAGGTAGGATATTTCAAATAGTGAATATCAGTCAACGGTGCGTGATAAATACCTTTCTCATACCTCTGTCATTCAAATAAATATTTTCTCTTCAGGTTGATTATTATACGTTGAGTCTATTATGGTGTGAATCAAAAATCTTAGAATGTGTAGTTATACGTCTCTATAGTGGTATTTATTATGGATTGTACATTGTTTTAACGTGTGGTTACCTAACCTCAAGTCGTTTGCATACATAATGCAATTGTAAATCTGATAAGCTTTTATAACATTTCTTGTTATCTTCTTGTTAACGATTATATCGACTTAAAAACTGGCATTTTTGTTTTATTCGCCTTGTAATGATTATAGGCGAAACTAGCTTTACTTGCGTACACATTGGTCACACCCGAAATTGAGTCACTCTACCAATGTTTATATTAGTCAAATTTGTAGACAACCAATGACTAAATCAGAACAGCCACGCCTCATGAATCTATTTGAAGGATATGTATCGCTTAACATTAATGTGTTAGTAGTCACATTGTTATTATTTAAGTTGTTTATCTTTATACTTCTCTCTGCTTTTGTAATATTAGATTTTGTGCAAATAAACGTTTATTGTAGGCAGGAATTGTTAATAAAAAGGAATTAATATACTTAGTTTAGGGAAAGGCTTCTCTCTTTAAATATTGAAAGAGTAAGAACGAACGTAAGGATGATGAATTATTTTAAAGGATCACAATATATTCACCTTATAAGAATGAAGTTTCTCGTAAAGAAAATAAACAGATTTGTTGTTAGGGTCGGTAACACTAAAATAACTTATCATCCTTATAATTTTTTTTATTTCACTGTGACGTCCTTACAATATTCCTTACTGAAGAATTTTTTCTTGTCGCTAAACAAAAATATGCTGAAATTGTTTTGTAACATTTTTTGGATTTAACTGTTACAGGTTGTAGACAGCTGAAGAAAACCTACAAAATAAAACGGATTCATGTGATTCTGTTCTTTTTTCAAATGACTAGTTTAAGTAGCGAAGTCAGTGCATCAGTTTAGAGTGATTTTACGAGTTTAGACTGTGTGGTTGCCAGAATTCAGTTAGTATTAAAGACTTGACCAGTGTACTTGACGGAGTCCTTCAAGAGCTATTCGTAGTCCGAACAGTTAATTTTAGTCAAAATAGTTCAGTAAATTAAATATTACTTTCCAATAAAAGATGAATTTCGCTTAGAATGTAAATGCACTTCGTTGAAGAATATCAGCCAGTAAAAAATCAATATATTGAAAGTGTGCCCTTAGTTATCCAGTTTTCGAAAGAAATTCAAAAATTATGTTAAGAACGTTTAAACAGATTGTGCCCTTTGTTGCTCTTAAACACCTACTGTTTTGTCCTACGTTCATTTTCAATTTTGCACGTCAAGGTGGTGGTGGTGGCTTGTAAACCTACCTGTCTAGTGGAGTAAAAGTATGTCATATTTCGCACTTTTACTCTGATCGGCGCTAAACTTTGTGCAGGTTTCGAGAAATCAAAAAATGGATATTTCTTTCGAATCACCATCAACTATTTATTGTCAAGGAAGGCTTGTAAATGGTTTCATAAATGGTGAATAAATACTTGTTAACATTTAGATAGGAACATTGCATTTTGTACTTTTGGAATGCTGACATTACTGTATGTCGTTCAGATTATAGTATGCAGGCTTATCTGTTAATCGTAATGTATCAGTTTAAACGTTAAACCAATCGGCTAGTGTTTATCACCATTGGCATCACTATATTACTGATTTCCTAGGGCGAAAATTACTTTTGTAATATTCTAGACTTTTTTGTGTATTCACTTCAAAAGGTTAAGGAGGAACATATGACTAGTTTATCTTAAATTGGAACTTTTTATATACTTGTTCACGCTAGAAGAATTTTTTCTCAATCTTCATTTTTAGATTCTTGATGAGTCGATGTGTGTTGTTCGTGAAGATCTCACAGAATGGTTGCAACACTACTTATTCTCAACTGCTAACGCTTGTCCAATCGCTGCACACTTCTTACTTTATCGTTTAGCCTCAGGCTTATGGCTTTCTAGATTGGCTTACAAGTTGCATTATTCAATATTGGAATCAGGTTTTCAAACTGCAGTAAAATCAAAAACAACCATCAAAAAAGACAAAGAAATTGTTTCATATGAATTTCTAAGAGGTGCATTATCAAATCGTGATTTGAAAAATCTCACTCCTCTCTCATTACCGTCATTTCCTCCAACATTAACTGTCTGTGCTAAATTACCGCTTGGTCCTACAGATCTCTGTTCGTTTTCTTCATTACAAAATACTTGTTGTAATAATTCAACTCCTAAAAATTGTGATGTTGACTTCCCTAAGGAGAATATATCCCTGAAACCACGAGTCGCTGATCGATGGATTGCTCGAGATAATATCAGTGCATTCATTAAATGGTGTAAAGAATTGGGCGTACCTGAGACATTATTATTTGAAACAAACGGATTAAGTAAGTGCATTAACATTTTTCTTTATTAATAATAATAATAATAATTTACTTTATTCCAAAAACAGTACTTGTGATACAGAATGGAATTTTCAGTATTAATCACATATTGCATCTAATTTCCTCAAATTATAACTAAAATTAATCACGCAGAAAATCTTCTACATTTACAATAGGGGTAATGTCAGAAACATGAAGCATATAAAGTGGAAATAATAATAATGATAACAGCTAAGGTAGTAATAATGATATAAGTGAAAATTGCCGTGGACTTGTTACACACAGTATTGTCAATGCGGTATAGAAATCCTAGCATGTTTAAAAATATTGAATATAATGTTCTCTTTAGATGATATGATGAGGGGAAAAACAAAGATTACAGCAGTCATAGAGATAAGTTGGTGCTTGCAATTATGAGAGTAAAACAAAGAAGCAACAGGACCATAAATATAATAAAAATAATAAAAGTAAAACTTGAAGGTATATAAGGATGGATGGAGGAAATTGTCTATTTACTAGATGAAAAAGGTTAGTTAATTCTTGCCTAACACTATTTGCATCACAAAATATTTATTTAGTAACTACACTGTTTCTTTTGACATCTTCATCTTGAATAGGTTAGACAAAAAATGGACAAAAGCTCAGACACTCAGTCACTATTGATGGGTATGACACTGATCTAAATATTGCTTTGAAGTATAGTAAAGATTGTAACGTCTGCTTCGTAGTCTAGTTTAAGTTATTAAATGAGCTTAAAATTGTGGAAAGTATCATCAATGACTAGTTTTGGCAACAGAAGTGTGTAGCACTTACTAAACAGATGTTCAGTTTCCGTTTGAATATCATGAATCTTCACTAAAGGTATCATGGAAGAAGTGTGTCGGTACCTAATTAGTTGATCAAAGATCGTGACCCTTATCCTTTTAATTGCATACTTTTCTGCTGTTTATTTATTCCAGTTCAATGAAGTCGGTTCAACCATTGTACCTGTTTCTAAATAACTGCATTTTTGAACATGTAAAGTATTTTGATTGGACACTAGTAAGTGACGTATCTAGTCCTTTCTTTGGTGTAGACTGAATTCTATCAGTCAGCTTTTGCAATGTGGCCACCATTCTAGGTAGCTCGCCATCACGGTTCAAACTGATTTGATGATATATTAGGTAGTTGGAGGCAATCGGCAGGAAGCATTGGATCTAGGTGTCGTGCTAGTTGACACTCATCGGCAAGGCGTATCTGCAACCTTGGCGAGCTACCTGGAATGGTAGCTACATTGCAAAAGCTGACTGATAGAATTATGTCTGCACCAAAGAAAGGAATAGATACGTCACACTAGTTACTAGTGTCCAATCAAAATACCCGCTACAGTCCTACAGGAGGTGAATTGCGAGCCCGAATAGCTCAATGATAACGTCTCTGACTGCAGCACTGGGTGACGCGGGTTCGAATCTCAGAAGGGACATGAGTTCCTTCAAGGTTGCAGATACGCCTTGCTGATGAATGGCAACTGGCACGAAACCTAGGTACAAGGCATCCTGCCGACTGCCTCCAACTATCTAATATATCATCACATGTAAAGTATATTAGAACTGGTTTTGTCGAAACCCTAATGTATTCACTTAAATACATTTTTATTATGTTAGGCATAAACTTTACGCTTTGGATACTTTTAAATAAAAAAGATGATTAAGTTTACTTTCCGTAATGAATCATAATCCTTATTTTATAAATCTAGTCTATAAGGTAGTATTTATAAACAATTGAGTAAATATACCTTTCATTCATTGTTTTTTGTCAGATAAGTAATCAAATGCGCATGTCTTATGGATGAGTATTTAAAATACAGGCAACCATCTTAATAAACTCATTTTGTCATCTATCTAATCTGCGAGTTAATACAATAGTGGTCTCATTATATCTAGTTATATTTGGGTAGGTAGATATGACAGTTTAACACTGGAGTTTATTGTTTACAATCATAATACAGACAATATATATTCAAGTATAAAATTCATCATAGAATAAGACATTATTTTTATTATTATTTTGTTGTTCATTTGATCAGACTATTGTTTATTATTGGTTTCTATAGCTATATGCTTAATAATAGTATGATATACACATTCTACCTAAGTGATTATAGTTACTATAGTGGTGTGAAACTACGAGACTGATGAACGAAATATAATTTCCTTTGCTAGAATGTGAATGAATGAAATTAGTGAACGCCTTGACAAGAAGTTTACAACTCAATGATCACACGTGAGTCATAGAGATCACGTAGACATGAATTGTACAGTTTAGTTTATTTAGTTGCTATTTTTGAAAGTTGTGAGTGTGCATTCGCTTATTACGCTAATTAGTCATAACTGTGTTTCGTGACCGTGGATTTTTTCGAGTAATTTAATCCATCTCCGTTAGGTTAACAGTGTGTTGTAGACCATTTACAAATATTGATATACTTATTCGTACTGAATCTTTAACTCTTTGGTTTAAGCAGTTAACTTCCAACCGTTAAATTACGAGTTGGAATTTCGATATAAGTATAAAACTTGGGCACTGTGGTAGGGTATAGCTCCATTATGGATAACTTGATATGATTATAAGCAATAGTTTGTGTTCGAAACGTCGACAGTTAATATTACTGTATAACACCGTGCGATTTATTAAAATAAAATCTTATGCATAATGGAGTTGGAATTTCCCCTCCAACCATCATAGTCGCATCATTGGTGTCCCTATAACACACTAGGCTGATTATTCGTTGTGTCAACCAATAGATGTTTATTAAATTAACGACACTGATCTAATGTGTAAAAATATTGCAGGGCATCTATTTCCGTCGTTTTTGTGGCAATTTCAAGATCAAAAACAAAGTGTCTTGAAAGTGTGCAACAGAGCATTTCAAATAATTGAAAATTATGGAAATGTTTTACAAGAAGCGTTAAAGCATATTCCAGTTGTAGCTGAATTCCTCTTCGTAGATATGGTTAAGGGGCGAATTTACATTTCACATGCCCTGTTCAGTTTATTTTATCTACTTTAACTTGTTTCCTATTTCAAGGGTTTTTGTGGCACAGAATCCGGTAATTTCTTCGCTTCTTCTATGGCCTCTTGTATTGTCATGTAATGTAGTTTCCTGTTTCACTGTCGAAACATTTGCAGTCATGCAACTCTAGTCGACTGTCCAGCAACAGGTTTCTTTGTCATGGCAACTATACACTTCTTCGGCTTCGGTAGTGAATTTCTCCATTTTGAAACTAGAGATGTCGGTGGTGTTGCCACACACCTTTATCGTCCGGGGGATAATTGGAAACGGGAAAGGGAAATATAAATCCTTAAGCAGGTGTAATAGACTTTTAATTTTATCTATGAAATACCTCATTCGAAGCTATTATCCATTTGCTAGTTAAACTCAGCTATTTGTCGGTGCTAAGCTGGTTACAAAACGCATATACTAAGTTTAATTTTATTAGCATTATTATGCATTATGATCTTTTAATCTATAGTATTGTTATTATTATTTTAACCCTTTAATTAAGTCTTGGTATATACTAAATATAGTTTAGTTTAGAACTAGATGATGATAATTGTATACTGTAATAGTATGTCATGTGATCGTTCTATTTCGGAATATGTGAAATCGATTGTTTGAAGCATAAATTAAACAAGATCACCGCGTACTTTTTATAATTCTGAGTTTATTTTCATTTAGAAGTAGTTGATATATATATATATATATATATATATATATATATATATATATATATATATATATATATATATATATATATATATGCCTAATGTTTTTATACCCATGATTTCAAGTGGTATAAGACTATATTGACACCCTACTACTTTTGCATATCTAAGGTCTACAAGTTTGTATATAATGTCGAATTCCTATCATCTTAATTATTCAAAGACACTTTGGTGGATGTGTTTCAGTTCTCAGGTGATATCAATATTATGTTTGTTCTGTCATCAAGAAGAAAAAGGATTTTGTTACATTGAATTTTGTTTTAATGAGTAGTACATTCATACAGTTACCTTAATTCTCTTATCCTTTAGTAAATTAATCATCCTATTGTTCGTAGGTCTCTTTTAGTAGGGTGAGAGAGAGAAAGCCAGCCATTGTTTAAGGTAGTGATTTTGTCTCGTTCCTCAAAATCTGGTCGGTGGTAGGGGACTTCAACTTTTGACCCTACCAGTTAGGATAATAATAAATGAAATTTGTAGTAGCAATAGTGCTATCTAGAGATACACCATCTACTTTCCTATATGATAGCTTATGGGTGCGAAAAGCACCCACTAAAGATAGAATGTGTTTATAGACTTCACCTATGTAAAATTACTGTTACCTTCGTAGTATTGTGTGCACTTGATGAATCCATCACATGAGAAACGTAGGAGTTGAGGACAGACTCTTATTTATATCTAGTAATTCAGTTTATAAAGCTTTCACCAGAAATATCTCAGATGATGAATACGCTTGCCTTCTCATCAGGATAAGTTTAGGTTTGAAGAGCTAACATTCTACTTTAATACATGAAGCTCTTGAGAATTAGTGTAAATTTTGTGTTCAAGTCGTATACTGCTTGTTTGTAATGCATGTCATGACGAAGATTTATAATTAGAGGCTCTTGGTAATGGTACTTAGAATCGATTTTAGTAGCGCATATCCATTCATACTTCAACTTTATCTTAGTTCTGATATCACCCCTTGTTAGCTTTTTATTTTCTCTGTTTTGGAGTATCTTATAATCTTTGATTATATTATTTTCATTCCTTTGCCGTTTTTCTTGCCTTGCTGATGTACAAGTATGAAGTGTAGCACCGTGGATTACTACTCAGTACCGCCGATTTACATTTTCCAACAACGTGTGATGGATAAGAAAATGTTGTGTTCAATTATATCTCCATTTGTTTTGATTATGTACTACTCAGCAACTGACTGTATCTGGATGAGGTATTAGTGATACTACTTAGCTGCTGAGACCTCGGTAGGTGGGTGGGGTTCGAACCCATGATCATCTGGTTGGAAATTGAGCGCCTAGACCAATGAGCCGCAGCCCCTTTTGATAACATAGTGACATTGAAAATGAATTGAATGTTTTTAAAATCTAACTTTAGTATAACAGGTATTTTCTTCATGAAATCTGCATTCTTTTTCACAACAGATAGGGCACAAAAGTAGGACAACTTTTTAAATGTTTATGAGTGACTTAGATTTGTCAGACAATAACTTGTTTCAAATCTCATATATTAAGAAAGCTCATGTATAAAATGAAATCTTCAATCATGACAATGAATTATGTTTGGACTAATTAATTGAATTATATTCTCTGACAGCATATGACTATTTCTTGTTTGTCACTGCACGCATCCACATGGTTGATGATTGGAATTTTTTGTGGGAAGTATTAAGCTCACTGTAGTTTTCAATTTTACCATTCTTTAATAATACCTGAAGTTTTTCTTGTTTTCTGACTGATTTTACCACATGATCATGATAAACATGGGTTTTTATTACTAAGACATATGCGTAGTAATCTGTTTCATTTTGTCTTGTTATTCTATTCTCACAAATGTAGATTCGTTTAGACTACTAATGAAATTAACAACAATTTTTTAAGTCAGGAACTTCTCGACTAAAGAATTCATATCTGTTGTGTAATGAAGAGACTTGTCAGTTGGTACAACTTGAACGAAGTTAGATAACATAAGAGTGGAGAAAAGAAAGAAGAAGTCTCATGAGAGAGAATAGTTAATGAGGTTGACACGGATTGAATAAACCTACGCTACTGTAAACATCTTTTAGCCACAAAGAGTTTAAAACATATCAAGGACCCCAACCGCACAATCGAAAGCTGTCTAAATGGTGCAGGTAAACGGTCAATGACTTCAGAGATTTATGCCATAATTTCCGCCTGGACACCTGACGCTTTTAACCTATACTGACTTCAGCTATTACTTGTCGTAAAAGGCGGTTCCTCGGCATGCTTTATAATACAATCGAAGTGATTTTGCTCCATCTAACGTGAGTAATTATATGGGGGCACAGCGGTTAGGACGCTGGCCGACCGTGCACATGGTCCGGGGTTCGATCCCCTGCCGGCTCACTCCTTTACCTCGTTAAGCGAGTAATAAAGCTGGTAGAGAGAAAAGGTTGGGCATGAGGCTAGCAACCACATCCTGTAAAATAAACACTGCTACAGAAACGTCAAGCCACTAGCCTGAAGCCCTATGTTCCACTGGGAACGTGAAAGAATAAAACAAAACTTATGATGAAAACTGTTGTCTTTTCCAATATTTCACTTTAAATGGCCATATGTCGTAGTCTTTGAAAGGGACGGGGTGAACTTCTGTACAATAAGCATTCGTTTTCGTGGTTAAGCGGAGATCTCGCTTGCTCTAAGACTCAAGTTGACAAACGGAAAATCAGTATTCTGCACCTGTGTTGAGATTTCTACTAAAAAAAAACATCCCACTGTTTCATTGTTTATCCTTAAAATAGTAGTTGATATAGATTATGCCTATATGTATTTGTTAGGAACAATTCGTAAACCAAAGATAATCAAAGTTCTCCTCAGATGTTTGGATAACTGTATTTCATCAGGTTTACAATTGAAGTGATTGTTTCATTTATGATGTACTCTAAACGGATGGTACCGTCTACTCGTAGAGAAGCTAGTGAATTACCAGTAGTGGGTTTAAGTAGGTAAAACTATTGTTGAGGTCATTCAGTCGTATACGTTTTCATGTATTTCGGAATATTTTGTATTCAGCTTTTCTCTTGGGTTCTGTTTCTAGTTTTTATCAATGATTCTTTTTATGCGACAAAATAATAGTAATAATAATAGCGACAATAACTGTATAATAGTATAAACTATTTCAGCCAGTCAGTCAGTATAAGAAGATTAAAACGAAAACCGTATCAAGATCACGCCATTTAGTTATTCGTTTTAACTACCTTTTCTTTTTCATATCTCTAGTGAATAGAACAGAGGAGAAAAATGTTTTACTTACACTAATGGAGGTCGCACGTATCGCCAGTCGTTATGGTCTCACGGATTTGCCTTATTTAGTTCGTATGGAACGAGAAATTGATGAGATAGAAGCGAAACGTTCACAAAATGAAAATTACAAAGACAACACATATCATGAGGATGTACATCATTTCACCAGTCAAGCAGTGATTAAATTGGAAAGAATTGATCGTGAAGATAACTACAATTCAAGCGTTGAAGTAACTGTTGGTACATCCAGCAAGAAGGTCCAAAAATTGAATTCTGACACGAAGTCCATCGATGTACATTTAAACGTCAATGCCGTAAGTTGTAATGCATTTTCAGTTTTCGGAAACAATTCAAATAACCTGGAGGTTTAAAAAGGGCATAAGTGACTACTTGTGCTGAAGAGAAAAGGGGTTGGGGGTTCCAGACTTTGACGTTTACGGTCAAAAAGCATAAAAGGTTGTTACAACGTTCAGTTACTTGATAGCATTGTTTAGTCTAAAAACTGCAAATTTCAGTAAGGTTGTTTGCAGAACCGAACTCGGTAGATGATGTCTCTTCATTGTAGTTTATTGAATTGGATGTTAAAAGTGTGTATTACCTGCAAGTTTCTAACAGATGGCTCACTTATTAGTAAGCCTGTGGAACAGTGGAATGTGTCAAGGCGTGATATCAGACATGTGAGTCTGAACGCTAACCTCATCAGAAACTGTATTCACAGAAAAATGTACATCGCAGCTAAACAGATATCTACTTTTACAAGGAGTAAGCAAAATGTCCTGATAGAAAGGAATGCAATTTATTTCTAATTTTAAAAATGGAACTATAAAAAGTTGTGCTAACATTCTCAACATATTTCAATGTACAGCAGAAGATAAAAATCATTATTCTACTGTAACTCCAACTCATATTTTGTTGTATTTGATAGGATTACTGTTTAAAATGTCAAAAAAGTTCTTATTCTGAAGTCTGATAGGGTTGAAAGGTAAATTTCGCCAATGGCAATCTAAGTGATATATTTTAGACTATAACTATAACTTGGTAATGCCATAAATGTTTCATTTGGGCGCACCCACTCCTTCGACAACTACTCCATTTATTTATGTGGATACGGAAATAATACTCAGTGTTTTGTAAAGAGATTTGTCTTATGTGTCTGGTCTACGTATCTGTATAAATAACTTACCATAATACCGACTAATTTATTATGATGTCTATGTGTCATCAGATTTGATGCTATTATCGTAACTAGGGTGAAGTTTTCGAAATCTGAAATAGCACATCGGTCATAATCGAATGCATCAGATAAGAAGCTCTAGTATTTGCAATTAATAGTGTTCTCTGAGCTGGTTGGTTTAGTTGCGGAGCTTTCGTCGTCCTTCTGGACAATATCTTCAGAGCAATATTTAGCATAAAGTGAAACGATTTAAATTTTTCATGAGTGACATAACTGCGTCTCCCGGTAACCATCTTTACATATGTATTGACCACTTTCTATTGACTTGGATTTTAAACCTTCTGGTCACCTGATTTACTTTTTATTAGTTGGTATATTTGGTCTATATTAACGTGTTTGTTAATTGCGCTGAAGATGCTGTCCACAAGGACAACGAAAGCGCCGCTAGTAAATCAACCAGCTCAGAGAACACTATTAGTTGCAAATCATCCACTTGAGCTGCAAATCTTCTCTATTATTTCCAGCTCAAGTATTACTGCGTAAATTTATTGACATGAGACAGAGTTGAGTAGTCTCTGATTGAAAATTATTGTGTTATATATCTAACATTATATATATATATATATATATATATATATATATATATATATATGTACACGTATAATATTTTATGTATATACGTGGAGTAGTTCGAATCAACAGTGAATAGAGTTTGGTGTTCTCCCGGGACATATATATATATATATTACACATAGGTATGCTTGGTGATATTATTATTATTGTTCCCCTGGCTTCCTAGTGGGACATGGGGCTTCAACTGCACCCCTCCACTTGATTCTGCTGTACTTTTCACCTGCGTCCGTGTTAGTCCATACTGTTTCAACTCCTCTTCACACGATCTCCTTCATGTCACCCTCGGACATCTCAGTCGCCACTTCCCTTTTGGGTCCCACTCGAGCAATGGCCTGACGCGCGCGCGATGTCATCCAGCGGCCTCCTCAGTGAGTGTCCAGTCCATCTCCACTTTCTCCTGCATATTTGCTGTTGGTGGGCGATTGGTTCTTGTTTTGTTTGTTCACATACTTTCTTGTTGATGACTGTTTCCGGCCCGACCATCTGATCTTCCGTATAGAGCAAAGACAGTTGTTGATAAATGTCTGGTCTTCAACAGGTTGTTGGAAATATTCTTTGTGATCCGCCCACCAAGTTTCTGATCCGTATAGAAGAACTGACTTGACGCTGTTTGTATTGAAAATCCGACCGAATTTTGTTGTTGATGCTGGCTGAGTGACGAAGATTTCCAGATTGATTTCAGGTTGATGAATGTGTTTCTCTCTCGCCTTCTCGATTTGACATCCTCGTCCGTTCCCACTGTCTGTAGTTGAGACAATGCCCCCTAGATAAGTGAATGAAGTAACCTCTTTCAAATCCCTCCCGTTGATGGGGATTGACGCTGGATGTTTCTGCTGTTGTTGTTGGTTGGTTGGTTATTTTCATCACCTCCGTCTTGTCTATGTTCACTTGGAGTCCTGTCTTCGCCGACTGCTTCTTTGACCGGTTTGTCGGTTTTCGCTTGTAAGTCTTCGATTGTGTGTGTGACATCAAACATAAATCATCCGCGAAATCCAGATCTTCTAGGTTCTTCACGTTGGTCCAGGATATCCCTGTCTGCTCGTTTCCCACTGTCTGACACATAATCTACGACAGTCCACCACAATTAGGAATATCCTTGGTGATAATAAGCACCCTTGTCTGACTCCTGTGCTTACTCTAAACGCCTGGCTGAGTTTTCCGTTGTGGATGACTTGACATGTTCCGTTGTCGTACATCTGTTGAATAAGGTTGGTGATGTACAACAAAATAATTTTGTTGCCTCAGTACTATAATTTGTTAGATTAGCGAATGACTTTAATTCTGATGTTAAAAATATTTCATTGAATCTGACGGTTTCTTAAAATCTGGTTGTGTTACATAAAGTTAGACTGAATAATCTATTCTGTGGTGGACGAAGGCCTACATAACCTCTTTCGATTTGATGGTGGTTCATCATAATAAAATGACTTGGAAGTCTTACCAATAAGTTTGGTTGATTGTAATGCTTTTATTTACTGAGTTAAGTTACCTGGTCTACTGCAACTCGCCCACATTTCATTATCGTTTAAACCAGTAATTAGATTATGTTACATGAGTCTTTTAGTTTCAGAAGATGTTTATTATTCTGACATTTAGCACGTTAGAGACAGGAATTCTTCAATTTTTATTTTTCATCAACACTACATATGTAACGAGCACACTTCTCTATTGTATTTGCTGAATTCTGTTTAATCAAATTAAGGTAGATGTAATGTACTAAATTTTTGAATACTTATTGGATAGGTGATAGATGTTTCAAGAAATACTGACCTTACAGAAAATTAAAATGATTTGCTTTTGTGCCGTTGCGTGATTTATATATATATATATATATATATATATATATATATATATATTGAATGTCTTTATCATACTTGTTATGAATTGATTGATAGGCTAAAAAACTAATGAATCATTGTAATTGATTGACTGATAAATCGGTGTATAACTTTGCACAAAAGTACATTAGTTCAACTTGTTAAGTACTCCGAAACAGTATACAGAAAAGAAGGTTTTAGGTTTACAAAAAGAGATACGACGACAGACAAGTGTATGAATCATCAAGTGAAGATTAGTTGAAGAACATTCATATCTCTCAACTCTTCTACCTCTCATTTTGCAACTAACCATTCTAGTTATTTTTCTAACAATGAATATTCACAAAAAAAGTTGCGCAGTTCAAGAAGTATGGAAAACCAAAAGATTGGTAGTAGAAAAATGTAAAAATAATGATGTTGAATATTTTAATGGGGGCCTGGGAGATTGTCTGTAAGAAATACCTACTCCAGTTAGTTCATTTAATTTTGGGAGAAAATAACTCATATTTTTTATTGATGAAATTCTGAATTATCTTTAGTTTACGTGACTGACTGACTGATAAGATCCACTGTAGAACAGTATTGTTTACGTATTGATGATGTTTCAAGCACAATCTGTTGTCGCTTTATCTTTCAGTAATTTAATATTTTACGAGTTGATCACGGATTGATATCAGTTAGAGAACCATTGAAAACCAGGGAGTACTGGACAGCTGCTGTTTCATTCTAGTTTGGGAATCATCGGCAGTACTCACCCACTGGGATTCGAACCCGGGACCTTCCGGTTACAAGGCAAGGTCGTATACCATTCAGCCACTGGGACCCGATTCAATGGCTCGTGAATTCTAACTTCTACCAATTCGTGATTTAGCGCGACCCCAACCATTGTCGTTGGTGGCGTACTGCCGATGATTCCCAAATTAGGATGAAACAGCAGCTGTCCAGTACTCTCTGGTTGTCAACGGTTCTCTAACTGATATCAATCCATGATCAACTCGTAAAACAAATCCTTACAAACCAAACTATAGAAAATAATTTAATAATTCCCATTGTAACATGAGGAACACAATATTCAGCGAAGAGACTTTTCAATGAATTTATTATCAAGCCATACACTCGTATATATAAGGGTTTTAAAAAAATAAAAAGTTATATCTAATGTGAGAATTGAATCAATTAATAATATTATGAAATGCAGTTAAATATGTGTGATTATAATCATAGTTAAATATCAAGTAGCAAAACAATTAATGTCATATATAGAATAATTCATAAGATGTATAGATTTTGCAAATGAGTGTATAATTATGCGGTTAGTAGGCTAATATGGGACGTTACGTAATATGATGTGAAATTGGATAAGATAGGACTTAATATTGTAAAAACAATTTTTGGATTTAGGATGACAAGTGGGACAAGTAGAAATGATTCAAAGTGAGAATAGTAATAATAATAATGATAATCGTAGTAATCAGGGATAAGTGCATAGAATAACTAAAAAACAAAAATAAGAAAAATAAAATTAATGTCTATCTCTCTACGGCCAAGGCAGAAGTAGGAATTGTACGTACTTCTCCTGTACACAAACGTCTGGCTTAAATTCATGAATGGCCAACGCCTTCTCTGTCTTAGGAAGTCTATAAGGAAAAAAACGCGGCAAGTTAGCATGGATTCGGCCGATGATCTTAAAATCACGGTCAGGGTTGGTAGAGTGACAGGAGTCGATCAGGTGTTTTAGAATGGAGCTTCGCACAAACTTCCTTTCTCCCTTGTAAAACCATGCTGGAATATGTTCTCGTATCCGTGTGGAGAGCGTTCTCTGACTACGGCCAATGTACCCTGCTCCACAAGATTAGGTGAACTGATAGATGCGCATGGAGGCAGTCAGACGAGGAAGAATAATTTGTGGCTAGTGAACGTCATTTGTAATTTTGCTGCAGAGAACGTCTTACTGACTTCTTTAGAGAGACGATTTTTGAGCATCTCTGAATCTTGATCATCTTTGAATTCCAAATTTATGAATGAGGCTTTCTTTGGAACTGAGTCGGTGACCAGTTTCGACTGTTTATCTTTCGTGTTTCTGTCAATAAATCCGTCCGAGTAACTGTTTTCTGCGACTGTGGCCCTTAAGATGGCAAGTTCTGAGTCAGCACAATCGGAACTACAAATGTTTCTTATCCTAAAGCAGAGCGAATGTATTAGATTCCTTTTTCTGGAGATAGGCACCCAACTATAAAAATTAGTTAGTTGTCCGTTCCATGTTTGTTTCCGGTGGATGGATCTAGTGAGAGACCCTTTGTAACGTCTACTAAGGCACACATCAAGAAAGAAAATGCTTATTTCAAATCCCTTTTCTATGTTGAATTGTAAAGAAGGATTGCAGTTGTTGAATGCCAACTAGACATCATCAAGAATTACATTCTTACGTAATTACATAGTATGAATAGGTATGGCCCATTATCAACTGCATTAAATGTAAATTGTTGGCGAGCATTATTTTATTTTTCCTTAGCTGATTTTAAAATTCCTGAATGGGGGATTATCTATTGGCTGAAATGTAACCCTTTTTCAAAAGCTCTTTTTACTCTCCCCATTTAATGAGCCATTCAATAATTTGATTTAAGGCATAACATCACTTTGTGTCGACAAAAAAGGGCGTTTTTACACGCCTAATTCCATAATAAGAATAATATTAGTGATCATTAGAAGAAAGGTAATAAAATGTATGAAATATCATTGAGGCGTTTTTTTTATAATCCCAAAGATTGACGTAGGCGTATACCTATATCTAGTTGTATTAGTCAGTAGAAATAATGTTTAATTATTGAAGTATGTTTTGTTTTTGGAGAGGAGACAATTTCCTATCTTAAATGTATTGTAATTTCCTATCTGATAATTTAATTCTCTTGTTTATAAAATGGTGGTAAATTATGATATATATATATATATGTTTGCAATACGCCTGAACATTCAGTTATATTCAATCACCTACATAGAATTTACATGGAAGACTTGTTAATCTGTATTTGCGTGTTTCACTGCGTTACGAATACCTTTTAGAATGCTACGATCGGTCTTTATTCATGTACATTCTTGACTTTCAAAGTGCTTTTCGTCACGAGTCAAGAAAATTCAGAGGACTATTGAAAGTCTCGGAGGTCTGTGTAACTATTACCGGCTAATGTTGTGTTCTCCAGTCGTTTTTGTTTTGTCGAACTCAGATCCATTAGGTTTTTTGTAACACACAGCTACCATCGTATATCAGTAATATGTAACAGTTTCTTAGCAGTTTCAAGGATACTTATTTCGAGAAAAGTTGTTATATATTGTATGTTAATTCCTTAACATTCCCAGTGGAACATAGGGCTTCAAGCTAGAGGCTTGAAGTTTCTGTAGCAGTGTTTATTTTTACGGAATGGGATCACTAGCCTCATGCCCAACCTTTCTTCTTTACCAGCTTTGTTTCTGGCTTAGCGAGTTAAAGGAGTGCGGTGGCCGGTGATCGAACACCGGCCCGTGTGCATGGTCGGTGAGCGTCCTAACCGCTGTGCCCACCGACGCTATGTACTTTGTAAGATAGAGTGAGAGATAAATCCCACTGATTTATAAACTAAGTAAGGCGTGGCTTATTGTCTTGTTACTTAACTTCCAGCTAGAGTTCTAATCACTTCCTACCTAGCCTGACTTTAGCATTCGGATAGTTATATAGGAATTGTAGTTCATTACCAGAACAACTGTGATGTAACGGGTAGTTAAATTCTTTCTTTTAAAATTATTTTCAATTGCTGACTTATAGTATTGTGGATAAACGGAGGAGGTTTTAGGAACAAAGATGGTTCCATCGACACTCACCCTCCCTTGGTTCACTTCTTAAAGTATTATTGTGTGATATTTTAGTTTGTTTGTAATTTTCTATAGTTATTAAGTTTACTGTGATGGTTAAAATAATTTTTCTTAGTTTTTTTGGTTCAATATAGTAAATTTACAATTGCATTTATATTTTATTGAATATATACACTATATTATGCAGATGAATTTTCTATCTAAAAAACATGTTTATTCAATCTGATATTGTATTATACGCTTTACGAAAGTCCACTTTATTCTCTTACTGTTTATTATTTCAGGATTCAGTTGATACCAGTTCGCTCGATTCGTGTTGTGATGATAGTCGCTTCATAAATACGAATAATAACAAGACTGTACAAATTCATGTCGACAGTAAAAATGTTTCTTCCGATAGTGCTACTTTAAACTATTATAATCATGATGATAGTATGGACAATACATACAAGTCTACGCTTGTAACAAATATGAACAGTAGTTACAATAATCACATCGATGACAGTAAAACTGTAAATGCTCAGTTTGATTATATTAATAATGATCAGAAATCTACTTGTAATGATATGTCAGTTCAAACAAAGGATGATAATTTAGACCAAGCTAAACGCCTACTTGTTTTAAATGGTTCACTAGTATCGTTAGATGATAGCGATGATAGTCCTCGTAAGGCGATAACCGATCAATTTGTTCAACACCAGGTAGGTATACATTTCGTTGTTTATTTCTCCCACTTTGTCGCTACACTTATTTGTTGATTGAAATAATATGTTTAGAAAGCACATTTTTCATAGTGATGTAACCTTACAGTTTTTTTAAAGATCCGTTTAACTGAAATCGAAGTATGAATACTTCACCAGTCTGTTAAAGTACCTAGCCAGAAATCAGATGGTTTGAACGATTAGTCTATGTGAGATTGACCATGTACACGTCTAGTTTTCTGTGTGTACTGCAATTGTTTCCGGTTAACTGGCATTATTAATTGTTTTGATGGGTTTCAATTATTTATCATTGAGTATGATATAAACTTCTAATCAAATCGATATTGTCTGTGCGTGTGTGAGTGAAAAATCCGTAGGTGTTATTGGTTGCAGGATTTCATCATGAGCTGGTCACACCCACCGGGGTTCGAACCCAGGACCTTCTGGTTACAAGGCGAGCTCATATACCATTAAGCCACTGGGACCCGATTCAATGGTCGGTGAATTCTAACTTCTGACAATTCACGATATAGTGTTTTGTAACTTCAAGGTTACTGTTTTTAACGTTAACTTCTATGATTCCAGATTGTTTGAGAGGGCATAGTTTGGGAATAATAAAAACTTAGGCGTTTACTCTACACATTTTAGCTAGTGAGTGGATGTGGTTTTGTTGTTTAATATGCTTTCAGATAAGTTATATAAAATGCAATAAGCCAAATTTCGATACTGCTAATGTCCAGTTATAAGTAATCAGGTTATCTAAATATTTTATGTCTTGAAGTAGTTCAAAAGTACTTCGTGTTTTCTTCTTTTTTGCTGTGTGTTCACTGATGTATTTATATTATGTATTATTCTACCACATTATTTAAGTATTCACTTTAAGGTGTATTGTTTTGCGTAAAATTTTCGCAGACCTATCCATAATATATTTATGGGAACTTTTATCATTATTGTCACTTTGGTGCAGATGTATTTAAACCAGTTGGAATGTATCTCTTTACCTCTTACATTTTGCATTATAGCAACATTCGACCATCTTATATTCACTTTTTTTCTGAGCCTTAAATGCGGTGTATCAACTTGACCCATTACATTTTTACTTTGTCTTCTACATTTAACTCCTCATATTATAGCCAATTCATGTTTTCTGTAAGATGATAAAATGTATTGATTAGTTTGATGAGATAATACTTCAAGCTTTTTTTTCAGATTTGTCTACGCTGGTAGTCTCGGGTAATACAATCTTCGGTCTAATCGGTACTCATAGGTTCTGGGTATTTTTTGTTTTCTATATCGCTTCTTTCAACTGTTTCATGTTAGCTGCCAAGTGTAAATTAGTTATGGTTTCTCTATATGCCTATACTAATTAAGCTTGTCATTTGTTAGAAACTATGACAAGGTATACTCACTTTTAGGCAGTAAATTTTAGTTGTTTAAGGTTTTGAACATTTCTACCAAAGGTTGTCTGCATTCACTCCTTTCCCATTGTATGTTTATTTCATTTTGTTTTGATATATTTGATATTTAAAGTTTCTCGTCTGCTTGTATGAATCCTATTAGTAGCGATAAGATGTGTTCTACTTGTCCATCTCCGTTCTATGTACACCCAACTGCATACACTGTGGAATTTTTACAGATGTATAGCCTTTATGCCTTCTGACATTTTAAGATGTATTGGCTACTAGGTGGTTTAGTTTAATCCGAAATCCAAAGTTAATTACGATGCCTTCTTTTGAAAAAAAATACACCTCTAGCTTATCCGTTAATTAATACAGATTAAATGTTAATTAGGTGGTGATTTCTATGGAATTACCTTGATTTGATGTAAGTGAATAGAATGAGTACATATATACATATAATTGCATTGCTTCACCTTACGCTTAAATTTTTTGTAAATGTCATCGTAATTGATGTGTTTGTGTGCGTGTGAATGTACACTCGTTAAATGTTGGCTATAGTGGTCTCTCGTGTCTATTCTGACGGATGTCTGAAAATTCTCGGTTGTCTGAAAATTCTTACCTGTTCAAGTCTTTACACATGAATTTAGCTAAAATTCAGTATTTCTGGACGATAACTACCGAAATTCTAGTTTCGCTGTTCTAAATGTCAGTTGAAAGAAAACGAAAACAAATCGCCCGACTGAAAAATAAATGTGCAGACATTCACCATGTGCTGATTAATCAGTTTATAGCAATACTTGTAACACTGGAGAGTTAAGTATTTAACTGAAACTTGAAAGCCTGTCGATTACTGCACACTAGTTCCCTAGCTGTTATCAGTTCGTCATGAGATCCACTTTGAGACTGTAAGAATTCTTGGTGAAAAATTCTCCTCTGACTGTTTGGTTATCGATTGAATCGATTAGCGCTAAACATCGTGTTATCTCATTTATTTCATTTGTTTTCTATTCTTACGATTAGTTTGATATTTTAAATCTGCGCTGCTGTGCATATTTTTGAATTTTGCAGTTATGAGTTGTATACGAATAAGAGTCCTCTGCATGTAGTTGGTTTCTTTTGGATAAATTAATACACTGCTGAATAATGTAAGTGAAAGTAGTATTTCGATAAAGAAAGGAAGACGAAATTTGCAGTATAAAGTGATATGATTCTATTTCACAGGTTCTCATCGGATACAGACTACCTGAAATTACAATGATTATATAGATGATAATAGCATACTTTAATATCTGAGTGGTGGTAGTAGAGAAGAGATACTATAAAATTGACGCATCCAAAATGAAAGCATTACAATGTTTTTAGTTTAAGTTTTCATCATCAATTTATACGCTTTTAAAGTTGAAAAGAGGGGGAGGGGAGGGTTAAGACCTGTGAAATAGAATCATATCATTTTATACTGCAAATTTCGTCTTCCTCTCTTTATCGAAATTTATCAAGGAAACCAAATGCATGAAAGTAGTATGTTGTTAATGTAATTAAACATAGTTATGCATTTATCACACTTCTAAACAGTGCCTAGAAATTAACTGACGTTATAGCAAATGAATAAAGGTGTAAAAATTCAAGAGAAAATCGATGACGGATATTGGAAACTGTAGAAATCTTGTCTATAAAGTGTGAATGAGTCTGCATCCCATAACTTTCACATGCTACATTTCATATCTTTGAATTTCCATTGTCTTCAGTAGTTGCTATTATATTATACAGAGTCAGACACTGAAGCTTGTATGAATGCAATCATAAATATAATTAGTAACAACATGTTGTGATCTAACTATATTGACTAGATTATTTTATTTATGAGGTGGATCATTCGTGAAGTTATCGAACATAAACTTGCCTTTAACTGTTTGAAAATTTTAATTCTTAGCTTAGTGCTCTGTAAATTTTCAATATTGTAAGTGACTGAATCATTGCTGGTTATGATAATATTGGGAACTCTTCATGTACCCCATAATCTAGGAAGTTACATTCTCCTTGTAATATATAAAATGATGCATAGTTTGAACCAGTGTGAAACATCATTTACGCGTTTGGTGAACCTGTATGAGATAGAACAACTTGAACCAATATGCAAGGTCTTGTGTTTACAATATATATTGCCGGTCGACTTTACTCATATCTGACTTTATGATACATGAAAATGTTGGTTGGTTGAATGTTTATTACTAGTGTTGTTGGTTGTTTGTTGGCATGTTACAAGAAGTGGGGGTGGGAAACACAAAAAGGTCAGCAAAGACATCTTTTTGGTGATTTCATCCCCCAAAGATGTGTACAATAGTATTTTTATATATATAAGTTCGCATAGTTACAATTATTTATTTAATTTAATGTATTAACTAAAGAATATTCGAGGTGATAATTTTCAACTCGATATGAAAGCTTACAGCGGCATAGAAATCAAATACTGCAGGATCAGAAAAATAGTTACGTAATGTGCAAAGTAGTTTTTGAAGAGGTTTGATATTAAACAGAATGAGCACAGAAACAGACTGAAATAATAATTTTCAATAACTGAAGATGCAAAAGTATTCAGGGAATAAAGAAAAGGAAAAACACAAGAATTCAGAAACTTGACAGAACTAAATCTGTCTAATATCCTGACGGGTATTTTTTCACGATTTTTAATGAGATGAATAACTTCTCGAGTTTAATTGAACCCACACAAATAAATTCACTTTGTTTTATAATTATTTAAAAATACTACATAATGAGTACTGAATATTTAGATAAACGTGAAATAATAAGTCATTAGCTAGCTCTGATTGCTGGGTAACGTGTGCTTGTTGACACTACTGATGATTTCACGAATCAATATCAGTTAGAGAGATATTGGAAATCAAGGAGACCTGGAAGTCTGTTTCTTTCTATTTTGAGACTTTTCCTCACGATCCCGCCAGGGATCGAGTGTGGGACATTCAGTTTACGAGACAAAGCTAGTTGACTGTTCAGCCCAAGTGGTGAACATCGCCAGTGTCTTCGATGAGCATCCACTTCATCATGACATGGTGGAACCCACCGGTCACGACTTCTCACTAGAGCTTCAGGAAATCCAACCAGTAACCATCAATAAGCTAGCGGTTGATATTCGGCTTGTGTGATAGTGCTGGATAGTGATTCAAATTGAATTACATCCGGAATGTCACCTAATGCAGTATAGTTAGTTTAACAGATTGGTATTCCAATCTTAATAGTTTTTTTTATTCGGTGTATCACTCACCAGAAAATGTTTATAATAAGTTTAATTGTTCTTAATTACAGTAAATGTGCCTATGCAACTTCGAAACTCGGTTGTTACAGTTCTCGTTCTTCTTCACCTTTTGTCGTGAGTGTAATATAATTGTCTAGATATCCGGGAAAAATGTATCATTCCTATTCCATATATTCTCATTTAATTCGATAGAGATTCAGTTAAGTATCTCTACCTCTACCCTATTATTATATTAGGTTTTTTTTACTTTACCAGTCTATTTTATATATGTGTACAGCTGCGTGTATTGCTAAATGTAGCCGAGATTTCTGCTAGATGTTTTTCCTTTT